ATTGTGTATAGTTTACCCGCTCTTCATCCATACACCTAGAAATGGACTGGCAGCTATTCTTGTAGTCATTGGTTTAAGATTCTGGTACCCAACCTGCGGCCCGAGGGGCACTATTTCTTCCTCTAAGAACAGCGATGGGACTCTTTGCCTCCTACTGGCACCAACGATGGGCACTTTTTCTTCTACTGAAAACAATGATGGGGCAATATTAGTTCTACTGATAATGATGAAGTACTATTGCTTCTATTGACACCAGCGATGGGGCACTGTTCCTCCTACTGACGCCCAACGATGGGGCACTGTTCCTCCTACTGACGCCCAACGATGGGGCACTGTTCCTCCTACTGACGCCCAACGATGGGGCAATATTAGTTTTACTGATAATAATGGGTACAATTACTTCTATTGACACCAGCAATGGGGCACTATTTCTTCATAGGCAATTTTTTTAAATCCCACTGGTCACCAACACTGTGGTTCTTCTTTACACCCAATGACCATAGTCTGTATAACCAGACCCCCCACTGAAGGACAGTGAACCGGCAAATAAGGCAAAGGTTTGAGAACCTTTCCCTTAGTGGAATGCAGCCAAAAGTCACATTGTTGTTGGATGTGCTTCCTCATCTATCCCTAGTGTACCCGAGGGCGTACTAAAGGGCGGGGGTTAATTGTGCACAGAACACATTAGCCAACTATTAAGATAATAAGCAGCTGTTCAAGACTTGCATCATGGTGGCATTAACACTGCTTTATTATTCATATTAAACATAGTAGTTAAGTATTGCTAAGTATTATTTTGTGTTCTGTAATTAGTAATAAAATAATGAGTGTGGCCTAAAATGAGAACATTCAAGGTTTAGGATAACTCCGCACATCTAAACTCAAGACGAGCATAGAATCTACACAACCTGTCAAGTTTCCAGTCTGTGATACTAATCCAGTAGCTTGTTACAAGGTTAAGTTGAACCAGAGTCTCTGGCTATAAGTGTTTAGAAAAAACAACAACTTGCAGTTCTTTTTACATGCAAATAATGTCTGTCATCAGTATCCAGCTCACATATTTGTTTAAAGATGACCTGTCATCATTTCATGAGAAACGCTTGTACGTTTTAAAAGTAAATACTTAAGCTCTGTAGAATTAACCATTCCAGTCTGTTTGAATCTGAAAAGAGACGTTGGGCTAAATGAAAACACTATAAAACTGGGCTTTGCCCGCGATAACCAATCAGCTGTTTTATTTTGCATTTTAAACTCCACTACAGAAATGACAGTTGGAAGCTGATCGGTTGTTGTGGGCTATCTATTGACATGCTTATCTGACCTGAATGCGGGACGATTGTTGAAAGAGCAATTTAGGTCCCAGCAAAAGACAAAACAGATGGATGGAGACCTATGGGTTTTGAAAACAAGAAACCAAAAATACACTTTATATCCAAACTTTTTGCTTTTTCCTTTTAAAAAGACTTTATATACAATATTAGTTTTACTGATAATAATGGGTACAATTACTTCTATTGACACCAGCAATGGGGCACTATTTCTTCATAGGCAATTTTTTTAAATCCCACTGGTCACCAACACTGTGGTTCTTCTTTACACCCAATGACCATAGTCTGTATAACCAGACCCCCCACTGAAGGACAGTGAACCGGCAAATAAGGCAAAGGTTTGAGAACCTTTCCCTTAGTGGAATGCAGCCAAAAGTCACATTGTTGTTGGATGTGCTTCCTCATCTATCCCTAGTGTACCCGAGGGCGTACTAAAGGGCGGGGGTTAATTGTGCACAGAACACATTAGCCAACTATTAAGATAATAAGCAGCTGTTCAAGACTTGCATCATGGTGGCATTAACACTGCTTTATTATTCATATTAAACATAGTAGTTAAGTATTGCTAAGTATTATTTTGTGTTCTGTAATTAGTAATAAAATAATGAGTGTGGCCTAAAATGAGAACATTCAAGGTTTAGGATAACTCCGCACATCTAAACTCAAGACGAGCATAGAATCTACACAACCTGTCAAGTTTCCAGTCTGTGATACTAATCCAGTAGCTTGTTACAAGGTTAAGTTGAACCAGAGTCTCTGGCTATAAGTGTTTAGAAAAAACAACAACTTGCAGTTCTTTTTACATGCAAATAATGTCTGTCATCAGTATCCAGCTCACATATTTGTTTAAAGATGACCTGTCATCATTTCATGAGAAACGCTTGTACGTTTTAAAAGTAAATACTTAAGCTCTGTAGAATTAACCATTCCAGTCTGTTTGAATCTGAAAAGAGACGTTGGGCTAAATGAAAACACTATAAAACTGGGCTTTGCCCGCGATAACCAATCAGCTGTTTTATTTTGCATTTTAAACTCCACTACAGAAATGACAGTTGGAAGCTGATCGGTTGTTGTGGGCTATCTATTGACATGCTTATCTGACCTGAATGCGGGACGATTGTTGAAAGAGCAATTTAGGTCCCAGCAAAAGACAAAACAGATGGATGGAGACCTATGGGTTTTGAAAACAAGAAACCAAAAATACACTTTATATCCAAACTTTTTGCTTTTTCCTTTTAAAAAGACTTTATATGATTTGTTTTAATTCTTAACATCTGGGAAAAGCCTTTCACGTAAATGACTACAGGGCAAGAATGTGCACAAAGGTGTCAGCTGAGTTGGACATCACAGCGCAGTCATAAATTTTACAGGCAGACAAAACATCATTGAGAATTCCAAGAAGCAGTAAGGGGCCAGCAGTCCACATGAAGAAATGATAACCCCAGGAACTAAAAATATGAAGAGCAACATTAACTTCCACATAGCAAGGAATTTTCAATGATCTAGAGCAGTTGAGACTTGAGACGCTTGATGGGTAATATTGTGTTCCAACATGGACAACTTATCAGATTCATTGCTATCATTAAATCATATACAACTGAATTGCAAAGAGATTATTAGTTCAGTACCACTTCTGAGTCATGTTATACATGTAAGAAAGCTACATGGGAAATAGAAAAAAGTTATGAGTGCCATTATGATCAACTCAGCTTGTCCTTGACATTTTTTTTACACAAATACTGCACTGTTGAGTAGAATATCTCAGCTATCAAGGGCCATCCCCATAATGAAGCAGCCTGAGGCGGGTGCCTCATGCAGCATTTGATTGAGAGGCGACTACAGCGTCCCAGCTGTGCTAAGAGCTCTTAGCAACCTGCAATGCTCTGTCCGGTTTCCCTCCCAGATCACTGATGTCACCGGCTGCCAGGAGCTCCTGCTCGTGGCAATCAGTGACATCGGTAAGGTTGGCGGGATGCCAGACAGTGCCACTAAAAGCACGGCCCCAAACCCCCCGTCCTGTAAAGCTCCTGGCAAGCAGTAATTTCACTGATTGCCGGGAACTCAGGGGATGCTGTCCGCCCCCTCCCTTCCGCTAGGGAAACCCCTGCAGAGAGTTTGCATACATATTTAGCTATTTTGCCAGGCAGTCAAGTTTATGCCTCCAAGAGACGTCGGCCAGGATTTTTCCCAAATATTGTTTTATGGTCCTTTAAAGAAAATTTAAAAAATCCCAATGTTATTCTTTTGTAGGATAGGGTGAGGTAGACTTTGATCTCCCTTACAGCAGTACTTACCTGTCATTATTTCATAAACATACATTGTTAAAATACAAAGTATATTGTATGTCTGAGCAGCATTGATCACTCATGAGCATGATCATAGATAATGAAACAAAAAATGTTTTCTAGGTCTAAATCACCAAGTCTTATACTATTTAAAAGGGACACAGTACTGTGATTGTTGTACAATGTACATGGACCCGATTCACTTTCTTGTGGTCCATCAAAGCACTGCTAGAGCTCATTGAGGATGCTTAGCAGCACCATGTGTGAAGACACCACTGGAGGTGGAATGTTTAATAGAATTTCTGATACACATGGATTATTCCAACTGGCTAGTTTGTCTAAACTGCATAAATCAAACCCACTCCCCTAGCAGGCTTGTGGCCTCTGCGGACTTATATTCAGCTTTAGCTAAGGGGGCGGCAATGGAGGTATTTATATTGGAGGTACTTGTTATCACTCAACTTAGCTTTCCAACCTCTGCAGGATATAGATGAATTTTGCCCTCTTCTTCTTGAATAAAAGACAGGAAGTGGCAGACGTTGCATGCCCTGCTGTTTAGGTAAGACTCATGATATCCGGTCAGGAGTGCGATGGGTGTGTGTTTATTTAATTTAAATGATCTAGACACATGTACCTAAGGTCTGATTTGTCCCCAATGTTGGATTGCCAACTTTATTACAGATCATACAGTCTGCATCTTAGAATAAGGCCCGATCTGCTTGTGTACATGCAGTGTGTGTGTTTTTACTTCTGTATATATTAGTCATCCTGTAAAACTCCTAAGCAAAGCAATCCATAGACATTAAAAAGCAGCTGCTCATGAAGGGTTAGTTTGCACCAAGCAGACTCCTCCAATGCTGGTGATGGGTTCAAAACACACACTCTAGCTAGACCAATCAGTTCCAGCAAGCACCTTCTCTGCTTCTCCAGCTTCACATCACAAAGGGATGGGGAATTCCTCTGCTGCAACTCCTGGAACTGGGGGTGTCAGTCAGTTTTAAGTAGGCTTGGGCGAATTCAAGCGAACTGGGTCCACCCCAAGCCCCAGCTCATCACTAGTCTTATGTTGTAAAACAATAGCAGTTGGCTGGAAATGTCCTTCCTGACAATCATCTTTTACCCTCCTCCCCATGCATATTGTTGGCCAATGGTGTTTGGTGCTAACTTTAGACTAAACAGTTTGTACAATATGAAAAATGTCAAAACAGATTGATTCTTATCCTATGTATATGTAACGTTAAGCAGATTAACTATATTTACATATATGCTAGATGCAACCAATAGTTGAGCACAAAAAATAAAATATGCCTAATGAAAAAGCATTGAACAACCTTTTCCCCATGTTCCTTTGCTTGTTATACAGTTTCTTATATCTATATCTTAACAGATGTGTCACTTGGCCCTCACCCATGGATACCAGGCCGTGGTCTTTAACCGCCGCTGTCAAAATGGATGCCCACTCAGCACAGCCAAGTTACAGCCGTATGGTGATCCTAATGACCTTTGTGAGGCCATCCGGTACATTCGTCATTGTCAGCCCTCATCTCGTCTATTTGCTGCAGCAGAAGGCACTGGCGCTGGACTTCTTCTTTCCTACCTTGGCGAGTGTGGTTCGTCGAGCTACATCACAGCAGCAGGCTGCATCTCCCCTCTGTTTCGCCTGCAGGACTGGTTTGAAGCTGGGTGCCCGTGGCTTTGGCAGTCAGCACTACTCATGTATCAAAAAATGTATTTAAGCAGGTAAGATTATGTATAAGCTACACTATGGATCAAGTGTCTCAGTTCTTATAAATGTGGTATTCCAGTTTTGGGTACATGCTGGCAAACTGAATTGTACACTGTCTGGTTATTAGTGTTATGGCAGCAATAGTTCTGAGCTCCTAAAATGCACACATAATATTATTATTATTATTACATAGTATTTATATAGCGCCAACATTTTGCGCAGCGCTTTACAATATAAGGAAGACATTACAATCACAATACAATTAAGGACAAGATGGTAAGGAGGGCATGCCCCTGGGGGCTTATAATCTAAAAGGGGAGGGGGAAGTGATACATGAGGAGGTAGCTGTGTGGGGATGAATTGTTTGAGAACGTGATAGTTCAGTGGTTAGGTTGAGGTGGGATATTATGACCTTATGAAGCAATCTTATTTTCCCGGTTCAACTTTCACTTATTTAGGGCCCATGCACTGTGCTGTGTTGCATTAACTCGCATTGTGTAAATTGCAAAGTAAATGTCATCCACTTAGTGCTTACATTTACTAAAAATAGCCATTCATCTGCAGTCTGTATTACAAAAACAGATTGTTAAAAGAGAACTAAAATCAAACCTTTTCTTTTGGTTTTAGTACTCTTTTGGGTCACAGGTGTACATTTACTAATGTCCTCCTGTGATCCACACTCGGCATATAGCAGGCTACTGCGCAACAATATGCTGGCAGCGCAGGGCCATTCTGCAGGCTAGAAAGATCCAACAATATTGTCGGGATCCACCCCCCTGCCTGATTGACAGCTGACTCTGCCTCTGCCTCTCTAGAGGCGATCTGCAGTATATCACAGTCCAGCTCAAAGTATTGAGAAGAGTATATTATACTCTCCCAATACTTCTCCTCCTTTAAGATATGCATTCATACTGCTTGTAGTACCAAGTTTGCAAATGATTGACAAATATACCATTACATTCTGATCTGATTCCTTTAAAGGAGAACTATGGGGTCAGTGTTTTTCCCCATAGTTCTCCTTAGGGTAACGGGAGGACACAAACTAGCGTCCTCCCATTACCCTAAGCTCAGTATACCGCGAGCTACAGCTCGTGGTATACTGAGATGCCGGAGTGGATCCTGACGTAGATGACGGGATCTGCCCAGCTGCGTGAGTGACAGCTGGCTCTGCCTATCTAGAGGCAGAGCCAGCTGTACCCTCCCCCGTCCGTTCCGCCAGTCAGTGCTGGCAGATCGGAGCAGGGAGAGGGGAATCCAGCCCTCCCCGTCAGAGAGCCGTGACAGGATCGACACGTGAGGGAACCTGGTACGTGTTATCGCTCACCTCCCGATCTACTGAGCCGACCTGTGACAGTCTCATTGTCACAGGTCGGCTAGAACTATGAGGTGAGTGGAAATCACTCATCTCATAGTTCTCCTTTTAATTGTTTCTGTGGAATTAAGCTTTTTGTAAAACCGGAGTGGCACAAGCAAGAAGAGAGTACCTCTTAAACATATCTTGTATTTATGTAAGGACAAACAAGTCTTCCCAAAAGTGTCCTTGTGTTCAAGCTCCAAGGGACAGTTGATATCACAGCACTTCTATGAAAGCGTGGGCACTGTTTGTCATATTCTAGGTCATGGCTTTGGTTAGAGAGATGTAGCTTGAAGAGCGCAAGTCTCATGCTAATCATAAGCCTGGGCCCCTAGCACCTATGCCTTGTTAACATGAATATCCCTATCTCAAGTGACTTTATATTCTCCTAAGTTTTGGCAGTGCTAAAAAATAAAGCTCTACCCTCCTCCCCATTCCACAGCAGATGATCCGATCAGCAGGCATCTCCAGTGACATAATTTACCATATATGGACTTTCCGATTTGTAGTAAATGCTGAAGAGAGAGAGAGCTCCTTCCCCTCTGTCATCAGCGATCCACGATCGTTTTAGTATGTCAGTGTCAGCAGGGAGAGAGAGAGAGAGGGGGGAAGGAGCTGGCACACGGGGACGTGCAGGTAAGGAGAGAGCTGCTGCGCATGTCCATATATTCGTGGACGCGCAGCAGCTCTCAAGAATCACTGTCAGTCATCAGTGGGGAGGATCCCGTCAGATACGTCGGGATGTCTTCTCATTGCGGCGCTTAGCCCCGCCCACCACCTAAAATAAGGTTTTACAGCCTTACTGTGCATTTTGGCTAATTACAGTAAATTACATTATTTACTTATTTAGCCTAAAGAATGCATTAAAAAAAAAAAAAGATAGAACCCCATAGTTCTCCTTTTAATGCCCCGCAAAGCAGACTTCCTCCTCAATGGTTTTGGTTGTGACAATTAAAGCCCCTTTTTTGCCAGTCTGTCCTAAAGATATAGCTGCTGGTCCTGTATTCTATGTGATGACAAAGTAGTACCAATCTACATTCCTGCCCGGGGCCTGGAGAGGAAGCTGTCACAAGATTGTGGAGTATGATAATTACTCTGTGTTAGATCATTCCATAGATAAAATGAGCAATACATTCTTCCGTCGGCTAGGAAGTTCATTTTTTCTTTTTAGCACTGCCTAGAATTTTGCTTTCGCCACATCTCCTCCTCCTCCTCCTCCTCGTGACCCCTTATCTGCTGTTGACCTAAGTGCTGTAAGGCTGCAAGTGCTGATGGCATGTTTGTATGTGTCCTTTTGGAATCCTTATTAGTTGACACAGTGAGCGCTCTGCCCCCTCAGTATGCATTGAATGAAACCCATTGGGAAAACCACTTTTATTGAATAACAGGGCATTTGCAGTTTTGCGGCAAGATTCACCCCATGACATTTTGGCGCTAGTATGGAATTGTATTGTATTGGATAGGAAATATTACGCCATGATCCACAGAAAGCAATGTTAGGCACCAGTGGGAACACCACTTAAAGATATAAGCAACCCCCTTTCTGTCAAGAAAAGTGGCACATTTTTGAATCCATAATAGAAATTTGAAAATAGCGTGGAAACGTAATTGGTATTATCCGATGTTTAAGAATTGCAAGTCTGATCGGTTTGTGTCTACCTCAGGCGTTTTGTTTCATCTGTAGAGGATGTAAGAGAGCTCAGGCAGAGAGAAGCAAAAGTTAGTGGGACTTGGAAGTATGTATACCTGCTCATTAAGTAACAGATGGGCAGACTGTGGCCCTTGTTGAAGGAGGCTATCATACAACACTCCTCTTCCCCCACTCTGCAGCAAATATTAACTTTTACCATTTTTCCTCCAGTTCTCCAAACTTTCCTGCACCCCCTTCACCATCGAGGAGAGAGGTTAAAGTACAACTCTGGGCAAATGGTGAATTAAGCCTTGCAAGGAGGCTACCCCCCGCACTGCAAGAATTAAGTGCTAGTTTTGATCTAGGATCTAAAATAAAAAACATATATTCACCTGATCCTTGGTCCCATCTGGCTGCTAGATCAGGCCCCACAACCTTTCTAAACCCCCTACGAACCACTCCGTTCTGGTGGTCTAATGACCCGTGAGTCATCACGTCTAATACAGTGTATTATACATGAGGACACTGACGGACATGCCACCGCTGGAGCGGACGAGGAAAAAGGCTGCTTTATATATATATATTAAAAAATGTAAGACCCTAGACGAGAACAAGCACTTAACCCTTGCAGTGGAGGAGTAGCCCCACTGCAAGAGTTAATTTGTCGTTTGCCCGGAGTTCTTTTTTAGTTCAAAACACAAGCCCTTGTTACCTGCTCCACAGAACTGTGTGGTGGAGTTCTCATTTAACTGGATGCATATGTTCTCCTTGAAAAAAGGGGGGAAAAAATAGTTGTACACGCTTTGTTGCACATCAATGATTTTCTAGCAGTTATACATCTCAGACATCAATGACCCAGTTTTGAGCTGTTGCACACAGATCAAGCTATGCAGTATTTTACCACATGAACTACCACAACAGAAAAGCAATACAATGACAGCAGAGATACAAGACAGCTGCTATAAAAGTTCAAATATACATAGCTCAGCTTAAAAGAAAATGTTTTCATTTCCAGATAAACTTGGTTTGAGTCTGTTTTTGGTCACCTTCCAAGGTTTTCACACACATTGTAACCCCGCAGATTGCTAAATAAATGAGCTAACACAGATTATCAAGACACATTGCAAATTCCAAAGCTGTGCAGCCTTTAGGGGTACCCTGAGTCTCATTAATTACAATTGTTCAGGGGAAAGTGAAGGCATTGCTTCAAGAAACCAATCAGAACCCAGAAGTGATTTTGGGTGCATATTACCAAAAGTCTTCATCCCTGGTTGGGTGATATGAGTGACATTATGAATGAGCTTGTAAGGTATCTAGCAAGAGTATATGATGCTTAATTTGGAGAATACTGTCCTTCTATTGTATACAGAAGGATGAAGATTCAACATAATATAGTTTATTTTCAGTAAGTAGAAACGTTAGTGGTTACATCACACATGATATGGCCAAAAGTATGTGGACACACCTCCAGATCATATGGTTCAGGAAACTAACTCCATATTAATGCCCATGGATTTATGGAGTATACAACAAGCTTATCCCCTCAAGGACCCTTTCGCTGCCAGGGCCTTTTTTTTTTTTTCCATTTATAATCCACATTTTAGGCCTGAAAATTACTTCAAACGCTGACACATATTTTTTCTGAAAGCCAAGACCCTGTTGAATAAAATGTAAAATAAATGTTGTGCCCCACAACACACTATAATACCCATTTTTTTTTTTTTGTAAAATATAAAAGATGGTTACAATGAGTAACTACATACCCAACATGCCCAGATTAAAAATTGCGTGCGTCTGTGAAACTGCAACAACATTCAGTACCCCAAAAAGTCCATAGACGCTTAAAAAGCCCCTACAGTTTATCAATTTAGGGCTACATATAAATATTGGCCCTAGAATTATTGCTCTTACTCTGGCATGTGTGGCGATATCCAACATGTGTAGCGCTATCGTCATTTTCGTACGTAGGCGCACCCGACGCGTATTTACATGAAGGCGCGCATGCTTGTGGGGGACATTACAAAAATTAT